CCATTGACGAAGCTCGGTCCTGATGTGCTACCTGCTGACCCCTGGCCGGCGTCGCCCACCTGCAGGAGCATGGTCCCACTAGCAACGGGATTGGGTTAAGATCCTGAATATGGGCGTGTTTTACGCAGAGATGCAGAAACGGATTTCAATCTCGATTTTCTGCACTTTTCTACAAAGGCAGCCAGATTCGGGCGTTCAATCCAATCCTCTTTGCTACTACTACCGGTAGTGGGACCTCGCCCCTGGTGGGTGCGGCTCCCGCATGTTCCGTCGTTGGGGTGTGTGAGCACAGGGGATAGGTCCCACTTGCACGAATTAAGCGATATTGACCGTAGATTGCAAAGATCAACGGCCAGAATATCTTAAACCGTGCAAGTGGGACCTTGCCCCCGATGTGGCTGCTACGGGGTTCCCCGTAGTACTGTAATGACAAAAAAAAAAAGAAAAAAGGCATGGCCTGAAAGGCCATCTTGACCAGATTCGACAGGGAAAAAAACCACAAAAAAAAAAAGAAGAAAAAACCGGAACGGCCGTATGTTTGAAACCAAACCCCGCAAAAGGACATGCAGGGGGGGTGAGAGTTTCATTTCATGTTCACGTCATCGAGTTTCGCATACGCTGCGGGGGGGCCTTCGCCGCGCGGGCGGCGGGGGGACGAGCGCGCGCGCTTACCGCGCTGGGTGCTCGCGCAATTGCAATGGCGCCCGAATCAATTGCGAAATTGTAAGACTCCCGCCAATTCCGGTGACGCCCCGAATGAAGTGCGAATTGTAAGACTGGCACGAATTCCGGAAAGTGAATTGGCGCGAATTGTAAGACTGGCGCCAATTCCGGAGAGAGTGAATTGGCGCGAATTGAAAGGGTTCGTGTAAACCGGCGGGCAAATTAGGGCGAGATCCCACTAGCCCCTATTGTTCATTTCTGACCGTTGATCTTCGTAATCGAGGGTGAAAAATGAAAACTCCAGGTTAGTGGGATCTGACCCTTAACCAATTGTCGGCAGACGGCAAAATGGCGGGTAGCCCAACCATCGATTTTTCAATTCCCGCTCAAAGAGGAAATGTAACACCAGCGGCGGGAATCAGCGTTCGAAGCAGGTAGCGCCTTTGACACCCACCCACCCACACACACAGAGAGAGAGAGAGAGAGAGAGAGAGAGAGAGAGAGAGAGAGAGAGAGAGGTTTGGGAGGCTGTAATGCGGGGAGGCAAGGAGGAAGTCAGGGAGATGGAGAGGTTCATGTTCGGGCAAAAAACACAGTCGAAGGGTAATTGTTTGTGGAGGAGAAGCGGGGGTGCAGATGTAGGAGTGTGGGGGGG